GTCGTGCTCGTCACACTCGTGGTGCTGTTTTCCGTCGCACTGTTCGCCGACGTGCTGTGCGTGGTGGTGCTGGTGGTACGGGTCGTGTTTGTCACACTCGTAGGGCTGCCTTCGCTCGTGATGCTCGCCAACGCGCTGGGCGTAGCGTTGCTTCTCGTACCTATCGTGCTGATCATTCTCGCGACGCTGCTTTCGGTCGTACTGCTCGTCGACGTGCTGAGCGTAGTGGTGCTGCTGGTCCCGGTCGTGGTCGCCACCCTCGTGGTGCTGCTCTCAGTCGTATTGCTTGCCGACGTGCTGGGCGGAGCGGTGCTGCTGGTAGCGATCACCCTTGTCATGCTCGTGGTGCTGCTCTCGGTCGTACTGCTATCTGTCTTGCTGGGCGTAGTGGTGCTGTTCTCGGTCGTACTGCTATCCGTCGTACTCATCACACTTGTGGTGCTACTCTCGGTCATGCTGCTCGCAAAAGCGCTGGGCGTAGTGGTGCCGCTGGTGCTGGTCTTACTCGTCATACTCGTGGTGCTGCTCTCAGTCGTTCTGCTCGTCGACGTGCTGGGCGATGCGGTGACGCTGGTACCGGTCGTACTCGTCATGCTGCTGGCCGACGTGCTGAGCGTAGTGGTGTCGCTGGCACTGGTCGCACTCGTCATGCTCGCGTTGCCGCTATCGCTCGTACTGCTCACCGACGTGCCGGACGTTGTGGTGCCGCTGGTACTGGTCATTCTCGTCATACTCGTAGTGCTGCTCTCGTTCGTACTGCTCACCGACGTGCCGGACGTAGTGTTGCCGCTGGTATTGGTCGCACTTGTCATGCTCGTGGTGCTGCTTTCGGTCGGACAGCTCGCCGACGTGCTGGGCGTAGTGGTGCCGCTGGTACAGGTCGCACTCGTCATACTCGTGGTGCTGCTTTCAGTCGTACTGCTCGCTGACGTGCTGGGCGTAGCGGTGCTTCTGGTACTGGTCGCACTCGCCATACTCGTGGTGCCGGTCTCGGTTGTACTGCTCGCCGACGTGCTGGGCGTAGTGGTGCTTCTGGTACTGGTCGCACTCGCCATACTCGCGTTGCTACTATCGCTCGTACTGCCCTCCGACGTGCTGGGCGTAGCGGTGCCGTTGATACTGGTCGCACTCGTCATACTCGTGGTGCTGCTATCGGTCGTACTGCGCGGCGTCGTGCTGAATGACATCATCGGGCAGGCCGTCGTGCTGGGGCAAGGCGTCGTGCAGGGCATCGGGCTGGGGTAGGGCGTCGTGTAAACGGTGGGCGTCAGGAAGGGCATCGGGCTGGTGGAGGGCGCCGGGCTGAGGTAGGGCATCGTGTAGGGCGTCGTGCTTGGGTAGGGCGTGTAGGGCGTCGTGCTTGGGTAGGGCGTCGTGTAGGGCGTCGTGCTGGTGCTGAGCGTCGGGTGGGTCGTCGGGGTGGAGTAGAGCGTAGGGGAGGGCATCGTCCTGGGACTGGGTGTCGGGTATGGTGTCGGGGTGGAGTAGGGCGTAGGGGAGTGCGTCGCGCTGGGACTGGACGTCGAGAAGGGAGTCGGACTGGGGGAGGGCGTCGTGTAGGGCGTCGTGCTTGGGAAGGGCGTCGTGTAGGGCGTCGTGCTGGGGCTGGGCGTCGGGTCGGTCCTCGTGCTGAGGTAGGGCGTAGGGGAAGGCGTCCTGCTGCGGCTGGGCGTCGGGCGGGGCGTCGGGCTGGGGTAGGGCGTCGGGCTGGGGGAGGGCGTCGCGTATGGCGTCGTGTTTGGGTAGGGCACCGCTCCTCCCTCCACTGTGATGCTGCTGGTTCCACTGTGAGTTGCCCGCGTAGGGCTGCCGAACCGCGCCGTGTTGCTCAGGGTCCTGGGCGTGCTGCTCTCTGCCATGCTGCCCGTGGTCCTGGTCGTGTGGCTCTGGTGCTGCTGGTCGTTGTCGCGGCGGCATTGCTGCTTGCAGTCGTGGCCGTCGTCGCGGTGCTGCTGGTCGCGGTCGCGGGGGTGCTGCTGGCCTCTGACGTAGTGGCGCTGCTGGTGGTGGCGTTGCTGGTCGCCGTCGTGGAGGGGCCGCTGCTGGCTGTTGTCGTGGTGCTGCTGGTCGCCGTCGTGATGGCGTTGTTGGTCGTCGTCGCGGTGCTGCTGGTCGCGGTCGTGGTGGTGCTGCTGGTCGTAGTCGTGGTGGCGTTGTCGGCCGTGACTCTGCTGGACGCCGTCGTAGTGGTGCCGCTGCTCGCCGTTGTCGTGGTGCCGCCGGCCGCCGTCGTTGTTGACTTGCCGGATTCCATCGTGGCGCTGCAGCTGGTAGTGGCGTTGCAGCTGCTGCTGCTGCTGCTGCTGCTGCTGTTGTTGTTGTTGTTGCTGCTGAGCGTAGTCGTGGCGCTGCTGGTCGCCGTCGCGGTGGCGCAGCTGCCTGCGGCCGTGGTGGCGCTGCTGGGAGTGACGCTGCGGGTCGCCCTCGTGCTGGTGTTGCTGCTGGCTGTCGCCGTGGTTTTGCTGGTGGCGGTCGCGGTGGCATTGTTGCTGCTGCTGCTGCTCGCAATTGCGGTGCTGCTGGTTGTAGCCGTTCTGGTCGTGGTCGTTGTGGTGCCGTTCGTTGTGCTTGGGCTGCTGTGCGCGGCGCCGCTGTTGGGAGTCGTGGCGCCTCTTGTGCTTGGCGTAGTCGTGGCGATGCTGGTCGCCGTCGCGGTTGCGTTGGTGCCTGCGGTCGTGGTGACCTTGCTGGCCGTGGCTCTGCTGGTCGCCGTCGTGGCGGTGTTGCTGTTGGCCGTCGTCGTGGCTCTGCTGGTCGCGGTCGCGGTGGCGTTGCTGCTGGTGCCGCTGTTGCTGGTGCTGCTCGTAATTGCGCTGCTGCTGGTCGTAGTCGTTTTGGTCACGGTAGTCTTGGTGCCATTCATTGCACCTGGGCTGCTGCGCGCGGCACCCCTGTTGGGGGTCGTGGCGCCCCTTGTGGTCGTCATTGTTGTTTCTTGGCTCGTCGTTGTTGTTGCTTGGCTCTTGTGGGCTTGCTGCACAAGCCAGGGCGCCGCCGGGACCCGCAGCGGATCCGCGCAGGCCCCAGCGGGGAACTGGTCCCAGGAGAGTCCTACCGTGGGAGTGGGGCTCTTCCCCTGGGGGGCTCGGGCTGCAGCTGGCGCCAGCCCCCTCCCTCGGAAGGGGCTGGGGGGCTGGCGGCCAGACGGCTGGAATGGCCGTCTGGGGAGGCGGTGGGTCCTGCTGTCTGCTGTCGTCGTTTCCGCTGTCGCGTTGCCAGGACATGCTGCTGGGACCACTCGCGGATGTCACCGTCCAAGGGCTGCTACCCTCTGTCGTGCTGCTCCAAGTCGTGCTGCTCTCTGCCGTGCTGCTGGGACCCCTCGTGGATGTCCACGTCCAAGTGCAGCTGCTCTCTGTCGTGCTGCTCCGGGTCGTGCTGCTCTCTGCCGATGTTCTGGAACCATTCGCGGGTGTCAACGTCCGAAGGCTGCTGCTCTCTGTCGTGCTGCTCCGGGTCGTGCTGCTCTCTGCCGTGCTGCTGGGTCCGCTCGCGGATGTCAACGTCCAAGGGCCGCTGATCTCTGCCGTGTTGCTCCTGATCCCCGTCGTGTTGCTCTCTGCTGTGCTGCGGGTCCCACTCGCGTATGTCGCCGTAGAGCTGATGCTTGTTCTGCTCTCCGTTGTGCTGCCTGCCTTGCGGCTCCGATGGGGAGGGGAGGGGGAGGAGGATAAGGAGGAGGATAAGGAGAAGGAGGAGCAGGAGGAGGAGGAGCGGGAGGAGGAAAAGGTGGAGGAGGAGGAGGAGGAGGGGGAGGTGGAGGAGGATGAGGAGGAAGAGGATGTGACCGCGCTGCTTGTCCCATTTGTGGAAGTCCCGCTGCTCGAACTGGTACTCGCCGTCCTCGCCGCGTTCATGCTGGTGCCCGTACCGGTCGTGACCGTGCTGCTCGAGGTCACGCTGCCGCTCGTCTGTGACGCACTGCTAGTCACCGAAGCGTTGGAAATCCCTGTGGTCGACGATGCTGTAATCGTGGGGCTCGCCGTGGAGTTGGCCGTGGGCGTCGCACTGCCCGAGCTGGTACTCGCCGTCGTCGTCGTGCCTGCCTGCCGACTCCGATGGGAAGGGGAGGAGGAGGAGGAAGGAGGAGGAGGAGGAGGACGAGGACGACGACGAGGTGAAGGAGGGGAGGAGGACGAGGACGAGGAGGATAAGGAGGAGGAGGAGGAGGGGGAGGAGGAGTAGGAGGAGGAGGGGAAGGAGGGGGACGGGGGCGGGAAAGAGGCGAAGGGGAAGGACCAGAAGGAAGGGGAGGGGGAGCAGGAGGCAGAGGAGGACCAGGACATGCTGCTGGGACCACTCGCGGATGTCAACGTCCAAGGGCTGCTGCTCTCTGTCGTGCTGCTCCGGGTCGTGCTGCTCTCTGCCGTGCTGCTGGGACCGCTCGCGGGTGTCAACGTCCAAGGGCTGCTGCTCTCGGTCGTGCTGCTCCGGGTCGTGCTGCTCTCTGCCATGTTGCTGGGACCACTCGCGGATGTCCACGTCCACGGGCTGCTGCTCTCGGTCGTGCTGCTCTGGGTCGTGCTGCTCTCTGCCGTGCTGCTGGGACCACTCGCGGATGTCGACGTCCAAGGGCTGCAACTTTCTGTTGTGCTGATCCGGGTCGTGCCGCTCTCTGCCGTGCTGCTGGGCGTCGCACTGCCCGAGCTGGTACTCGCCGTCGTCGTCGTGCCTGCCTGCCGACTCCGATGGGAAGGGGAGGAAGAGGAGGAGGAGGAGGAAGAGGAGGAGGAGGAGCAGGAGGACGACGACGACGTCGACGAGGTGAAGGAGGGGGAGGAGGACGAGGAGGAGAAGGAGGAGGAGGAGGAGGAGGGGAAGGAGGGGGACGGGGGCGGGAAAGAGGCGAAGGGGAAGGACCAGAAGGAAGGGGAGGGGGAGCAGGAGGCAGAGGGGGACCAGGACATGCTGCTGGGACCACTCGCGGATGTCAACGTCCAAGGGCTGCTGCTCTCTGTCGTGCTGCTCCGGGTCGTGCTGCTCTGCCGTGCTGCTGGGACCGCTCGCGGATGTCAACGTCCAAGGGCTGCTGCTCTTTGTCGTGCTGCTCCGGGTCGTGCTGCTCTCTGCCATACTGCTGGGACCACTCGCGGATGTCCACGTCCAAGGGCTGCTGCTTTCGGTCGTGCTGCTCCGGGTCGTGCTGCTCTCTGCCGTGCTGCTGGGACCACTCGCGGATGTCGACGTCCAAGGGCTGCAACTTTCTGTCGTGCTGCTCCAGGTCGTGCCGCTCTCTGCCGTGCTGCTGGGACCATTCGCGAATGTCAACTCCCACGGGTTGCTGCTGCACTCTGTCGTGCTGCTCCGGGTCGTGCTGCACTCTGCCGTGCTGCTGGGACCACTCGCGGGTGTCTACGTCCAAGGGCTGCTGCTCTCTGTCGTGCTGCTCCGGGTCGTGCTGCTCTCTGCCGCGCTGCTGGGACCACTCGCGGATGTCAACGTCCAAGGGCTGCTGATCTCTGTCGTGCTGCTGCGGGTCGTGCCGTTCCCTGCCGTGCTGCTGGGACCACTCGCGGATCTCAACGTCCGAGGGCTGCTGCTCTCTGCCGCGCTGGTCCGGGTCGTGCTGCTCTCTGCCGAGCTGTTGGGAGCACTCGCGGATGTCCACGTCCAAACGCTGCTGCTCTCGGTCGAGCTGGAGCACTCGCGGATGTCAACGTCCAAGGGCTGCTGCTCTCTGTCGTGCTACTCCGGCTCGTGCTGCTCTCTGCCGAGCTGCGGGGACAACCCGCGGATGTCAACGTCCAAGGGCTGCTGCTCTCTGTCGTGTTGCTCCGGGTCGTGCCGCTCTCTGCCGTGCTGCTGGGACCGCTCGCGGACGCCAATGTCCAAGGGCTGCTGCTCTCTGTCGTGCTGCTCCGGGTCGTGCTGCACCTTGCCGTGCTGCTGGGACCACTCGCGGGTGTCTACGTCCGAGGGCTGCTGCTCTCTGTCGTGCTGCTCCGGATCGTGTCGCTCGCTGCCGTGCTGCTGGGACTTTTCGCGGATGTGAACGTCCAAGGGCTGCTGCTCTCTGTCGTGCTGCTCCGGGTCGTGCTGCTCTCTGCCGTGCTGCTGGGACCACTCGCGGGTGTCAGCGTCCGAGGGCTGCTGCTCTCTGTCGTGCTGCCCCGGGTCGTGCTGCTCTCTGCCGATGTTCTGGCACCACTCGCGGATGTCAACGTCCAAGGGCTGCTGCTCTCTGTCGCGCTGGTCCGGGTCGTGCTGCTCTCTGCCGTGCTGCTGGGACCGCTCGCGGATGTCCACGTCCAAGGGCTGCTCCTCTCCGTCGCGCTGCTCCGGGTCGGGCTGCTCTCTGTCGTGCTGCGGGGACCTTTCGCGGATGTCAACGTACAAGGGCTGCTGCTCTCTGTCGTGCTGCTCTCTGCCGTGCCACTGGGACCACTCGCGGATGTCAACGTACAAGGGCTGCTGCTCTCTGTCGTGCTGCTCTCTGCCGTGCCACTGGGACCACTCGCGGATGTCGACGTCCAAGGGCTGCTGCTTTTTGTCGTGCTGCTGCTCTTTGCCGTGCTGCTGGTACCACTCGCGGATGTCAACGTCCAAGGGCTTCTGCTCCCTGTCGCGTTGCTCCTGGTCGTGCTGCCGTCAGCCGTGCTGCTGGGACCACTCGCGGATGTCAACGCCCAAGGGCCGCTGCTCTCTGCAGTGTTGCTCCGGGACGTGTTGCTCTCGGCCGTGCCTCTGGGACCGCTCGCGGGTGTCGACGTCCAAGGGCTGCTGCACTCTGTCGTGCTGCTCCGGGTCGTGCCGCTCTGTGCCGTGCTGCTGGGACCACTCGCGCATGTCCACGTCCAAGGGCTGCTGCTCTCTGTCGTGCTGCTCCGGGTCGTGCTGCTCTCTTCCGTGGTGCTGAGACTTTTCGCGGATGTGAACGTCCAAGGGCTATTGCTCTCTGTCGTGCTGCTCTGGGTCGTTTTGCGAGGGCAGGTCGTCGGACTTCTGGTGGCCGTCATGGGCGCCCTGCTGACGTCCGTCGTGGTTGTTGTCGGCTG